CGATAGCCGATATAATCGCCGATATATTTAGTGATGTAAAAATTCACTGTAAATGTTGAACTGTTTAAAAAACTTAGGTTTGGCGCTGGTGGATTTTAAATTGGGTTTATTTAGGCAACATTTATTGTTATTCTGCCTCTTTACATCATATTTACAGACAGTAGGTTGGCTTAATGGCATTTTTGCATCACATTCTAGACACTAGTGATGGGTATTCCAGTTCTTTTTAGAGAACCGGCTCTTTTGGCTCGGCTCACTAAAAGCTGCTGGTTCTTTTGGCTCCCAAGTGGCTCTTCAGATTGTTTTGTTGCAAGCAGGACTGAATCAGGACTGAAAAACGACTAAACCGGGACTTATTTATTTTATGCTAAACTACAGTCAAATATGCTCGTTTTTTGTTTGTTTGTTTGTTTTTTTTAATCCTACGTACACGCAAATTTCTCAGTCTCGTTTTTAGCCGCAGCCGCTGTCAAACCACGAGTCTGCACGCGGCGTGAAGAGAAAAAAAGTGAGAGAAAGAGAAAACACGGCTCCCAATAAGGATCAGGCTCCTGTCGTTCCCTTCAAAGAGCCGGCTCTAAGAGTCATTTCGTTCGCGACGGACCCATAACTAGTAAAGAAAGTAGCGCTATTAGCCTTTAGCCGTAAATACGTGTGCGCCGCGGTAATTAATTATATGCGCAAATGTCATAATTCACACCTCTATTCACAGCTCATTTACATATCAGTGCAGGTCCAGTAGCAAATATACGGCCAATATAGTCACTTTAGAACAGACCAATAGAAAACAGTCTGTTTATGTGCATGAGCTACAGCAGCTAACCCATAACAAATGACAAAAACTAGCTTCAGAGTCGACATATTTCCAACACTCACCGCTCATACAGGCTCCTCCTCACATCACAAATCTGCACTAATAAATGTGCTTTTAATCCAGACTCAAACCGATTGTCCGTAAAAAGAATATAATCTCAGTGTTTGGATCTGTGTCTGCAGGTGTAAACAAACACACGTGAGTGACGCGACTCTCTGGTGTGTTCAGGGACAATACGGGCACACACAGACAAATGACTCCGTAGATAAATACTGATGTGGAGCCACATATTAGGACATTTATCTGTCTGTAAATTGGATTAAATGAACAGAATGTAGAGAGTCTAAGCTTTATAACGAGGTATAACATGCCCACGTGAAATATCGGCCCCTATCAGCAGCATATCAGCATATCGGCCGATAGCCGATATGCCTAAAGTTGCCCATATCAGCCGATAATATCGGCCAACCGATATATCGGTCGGACTCTCGTTAGAACATGCCTTCCCACAATAATCTCTGCAATCATCATTGAGTAATTGCTTGACTATTACTAATCTTTTTATTTAATGAACTTTTTATTTAATGTTGGTGTTTACCTAATTAAAATTGTGACATTGTAGAACTTGGATAATACTTCTGTGAAAAGATATTCTCAGAAAGTATTATTGTTGTTGTTATATGTTGAAGTCATAAATTGTATTACATAATATATCTTTTAAGCTGACACACCCTGTATTTGCAAGTTTCAACATGGGCAGTTCTTTGTAGAATCAGACTAAATCAATTTTGAGCTAATTTTTTATATATTGTTTCCCTCCTTCTAGGAACATAGCTCATGTTTTTTTTGTGTGTGTGTGTTTTTTTTTTCTTTCAGAGAAGCTACAAGATGGTACTTGTTTGAAATGTGCAACTGTCAGACTCTCCAGTCAAAAGTAAGAACTATCTGAAATACATTTTTATGTTTGAATTCATATATGAATACAGAAGTCTTACATACTCTGTTGTAAATAACCTGAAGAATGAATAGAATATTGGGCTATTATCTAAAATATAGTACAACAGAGGATAGTAGTTTCTAATCTAAACTACAATAGAGTTGTAGATTTAGATGATAATTATTTAAGATATTCAGTTTGTATGGCATTATACTTTTCTAACTTGCATTTATTTAATTACAGGTGTTTTTATTGCAAAAATGTCTTGACAAACAAATAAGTTTGACCTTTCACTTAGCCTGGTGGTAGCTACACCTACTTGACTCTTATGGAGATTTAATGCCATACTGTGGAACATTCAAGGCAAAATAATAACATCTTTATGGAGACAAGTTGATGGCAGACACTTTCAGAGAAATGTGAACTTTTTAAATGTTATCTTAACTATGTCCTGTTTGCGATAAGTAACAAAATTTCTTCCATGTTTGATCAGGTTGGATGGTCACAGATTCAGCGTCCTGTCTCAACTGTCTGCCTTTGGTCCGACTCGCCTCTCCTCAGACTCCTCTGTACAGCCCCAAAGCCTGGACTCTCAGTTTTTCTGTGCTCTGGTCCCTTCATACCCCCAGCCCTCTGTCACTTCTCCCCCGTGGACAATAGCACAAACAAGGGGCATCTGTGGTGTGCGATGGGTCCACACGTCGTGCAGGAGGTGGGATGACTCCAAAGTGGAAAAGTCTCTACGAACTTTAAAAGAGAAGAAGAAGTTAGAGGAAGGGGGTCCCGTGTACAGCCCCACTTTGGATGCAGAACCGGTCAGACGGACGATAAGACAGAGGGTCATGGATGAGATTAAACATTACTATCATGGATTTAGGCTCCTGTGGGTCGACACCACCATCGCAGGACGAATGCTGTGGAGGGTGCTGAATGGACACCCCCTGTCCCGCAGAGAGAGGAGACAGGTGAGTGGGAGAGGGAGAGGATGGTGGTTAATGAAGTAATTTTATCAACGTTGAGCTCATTTCAGTTATATTGCATGCTGCGTGTTGAGAAGACGACTACAACATTGTCTATCTTTCTTCCTTTTTTACTATGTTATTGCTAAATTATAACATCTGTGCAATTTTGAACATAAAGTGTAATGCTTTTTGCAAAACCAAAACAAAAATCCTCTATTATGCATTTGTTACTCTAGAAGAGTAAGTAGGTTTATTAGTAGGTATAATTTCCCATATTTACATACATACATATACACAAACATATGGGTGTGTGTCTAAATGAGAGTTGCATAAGAAATTAAATATTCTCAAAATTTCAGTAAAAAGTTTGATTTCTGTCATACTATCATGGTCTTAAATTGTCGCTAAAATTGTAGTACTTCAAATCTTAAATGTATTTGTAGTTAATCTGGTATACGGCAAACCTGGGATTTTGCAGATGGATGGATGAAATCCTGAGCATATAATAAAACTACCGGTAACTCCACAGATGCTGCTCCCCATCTACCTGAACATCTGAGATCACAGGGTTAGGGCTGCAGTCACAGGGCTCCAGTCAGACGGGGCAGATGTCTTGTTCCTGAGTGTTTAATCCTCAGTCTGTCAGACCTAATGAGATTAATTAGAGAAACTGGATGCACACTGACTGTTTACTCTCTAGGAGATCCTTCTAAACCTCTTTACCCCAGACCTATGTTGACTTGATAAGCAGGTTATTGAAGTGATTTCAAAAGAGAAGGTCAACTATTTACATTCCTTTGTAAAATTGTCAATTAATCAATTATAAATCAATTAAACCTTTTAAGAAACTGAGTAATGTCACTAATAAGTGTCACTAATAATAGTCCATTTATACAGCAAAAGCTCGGTACAAAGGTCAGGGAATGGTGGACTCAAAGGATACATTCAAAAGTCATGTGGAGGGTCCTGCTAATTTCAAGCTAACAGAATGTTTTTGTGTGGTCTAATGGCCTAATGACTTTTAGGGAAGTTTGATTTAATGTTATGTATTGTAACCACAGGACAACTTTTACATGAATTGGATACATTTTTGATTTACTACTCTTGAAAAAACATAAAAAAAATAAAAAATAAACTCACATTAAATTAGTTTAGCATAACACATAAGCTATAGTTTGAAGCTGTAAATAATTAAAGTGCCCTGCATTCATTCTGTAAGGTATCGTTTTAAAATAGTAATTCTGGTAAGGCTGTATTGAGACTTAGGTGATAATATTTTTGTAGCTAGCTTATTTGATATTTGACGTGTTAGGGTAGTGATATCTCTGTGGGGCTCATTGTGCTGTAGTGTGGCCTGTCTTGATACCGTTTATTTGGATACAAATCTGGAGTGTGCTTCTGTAATCTGAGATACAGGTGCCATGCTGAGAGAGGAGCTCCAGGGTTAGTCCAGGTCAAGATCCAACCATAGATCCTGGTTCGGGACAGGGCCAGCTCTGCTCTTTTGTGGGCTAGACTTGGGGCATGATAGACAGGCTGCTAGACAAGAAAGATTGATTTTTTCTGACATGGCTTTTAGAGCAAAAAAGTACACCAAAACTAACACTGTATACATAGCTGCTCAAATTCCTTTTTCCAATGGCATTTTCAGGTTGTCATTTTGGTGCTGAGTGATATAAACGTACTAGTAGAGCTGCTACAAAAAATCAAAGTCATGCTTATCTTTGAGACTAAACTTCAAATTACACTGGTGTAGGACTACTGTGCTATTAATCATAAATCATACAAGAATTACAAAATACTACAAAATAGTACTTTCTCAGCGTAAAATGTTGCCTATGGGTTGGAGCTTTCTGTTAATATAAAACTGTTTAATTAAACTAAACATACAGTTTATCATGTTTGATTATATATTCCAACATGTGCGATTTTTAAAATACATAAAAATAACAGAACTTGCCAGCATTTTGTTTTGAAATGTTCCTTTTGAATAATTTTGTTCTGCAAGTAATATATATGATTATTTATGATTATATTATATCTGCTATTTATTTTCTAAAATTACAGTACCAGTCTTTCCCACCTCTGACCTACAGGTATTATACAAAGTACACACACACAGAGCAGGTGGGGCCTCTTTGTGGGACAATGAGACTGCACACTTTCTGAGGGCGTGATGTAACTCTTTCTTACAAAACCTGTAAAAACAGACATATATGACCCCAGTGTTTCCTATTATATAAAGATGTCTGAGCCCTGGAGCTACAGTAGACTTAACACTTGAGTGTGAACATTCAGGTCTAGTACACTCATTACCTGCAGCATTTAACTTTTAAAAATGCTGTTGGAAATGTAGAGCACTACTGTCAAGTGGATTGTTGACCATATTGAAAAATGTAGCTAGTTGTTTGATCTTTTTGCTGTGCTCTTATACTCTTGGGGGTTGGGGGAAACAAATGTGGGTGCACATGCAGCGTACTTCAAACATTTAAACAATTAAAAAAACAATGCTTTTGAAAAAATAAAGAATTGCAATTAAATTTGAGAGTTTTAAAAGTATGCTTCTGATATAAACAAATAAATTAGTACAAGAAAACTGTGCATTTCAGAACTTTTGTAGAGGCCTAAGCTGCAGGCACAAGAAGATTTTTGCAGTTCGGTAACTTTGTCGACTCAAATTTAGTAATTCTGATTTAATTGTGATATATTGTGCAGCCCTACTTCTTTCTAGTCCTACTTCTTTCTAATGGACTGAGATGGTTTCAAATCACTTGAGGCACTTTAGTGAGTTAATAAACAAATATAGCACACTTACAGGCAACTGTAAAATGCTTCTGCAATCTCTCACCCCCTGCATTAAGCCCTGGCTCCTTTCTCCATCTTTTCACATGCGCCTGACTCCCTCTGAGCTTTGTCCCAAACCCCATCCTCTGCTCCCATATTCACTTCAACCTGCACAGTTTGCCTCCTTAATCTCCCTCCTTCACATTACAATACTTTAGAGCTACACCTCCCCCAAACTTTGATGTAGGGCAGGGGTAATGATATACATGTCAATAGGCCAGAGGACAAAGGGCTTTTCTCTTGTACCGGTTTAAATCCTTTGCCCTTCTGGCCCTGGGGCATGTTTTCTGGACCCTCTGTTCCGTTCAGGGCGTCACTGTGCATTGGACAGTACGAGCTGTAGTATTTAGGGGTTGTATGGGAGGTAACTAAAAGGCATTGAATTAGGAGTTTTCTGTAGCTTGTGCTCTATGCACCAGGAGCAGGGCTGTAGTGCTGACTCTGGGAACTGTTATTAGAGCGATTGTATGTATGCAGTGATTGTACAGGGACAAAGGAAGATGGGGTCCAGGCAGGTTTTTATACTCACTACGGCCCTCTAGGTGTGAATGAATGAACTACAATACCAGATGCTATTACTAAAACTCTAGGAAACAAGAAAACAAAGTTGAAAATCTGTAATAATCAGTAGGGGTTGTGTGAGATACAATTCCCACAAGAACACACAATAATAATATATTCATTGTGCAGTTTCTTTTACAATTTTGCCCTCACAAAAAAATACTGCTTTTGTTTTGTTCCAGCAGCAGAAAACTAAGGCAGTAACACCACAATGCATCCAGGATATCAGGTTTTAGAGTCTGCAGTAATCTCACATGCATACTGACAGTGTTTCTGATTCTGTCTTCAGTTTCTCAGAACATGTGCAGACGTCTTCAGGCTGCTCCCCTTCCTGGTTTTCATCATCGTTCCTTTTATGGAGTTCCTGCTTCCTGTCGCTCTTAAACTCTTCCCCAACATGCTGCCGTCCACCTTTGAGACTCAGTCGAAGAAGGTACTTCACGGGAGCACAAAGCACCCAATCACTCATCAGATAGTTTGCTGGTGCACTTGTTAACATAAATGGGAGACAGTTTGCTGATTGAGAATAAACCACCCAAACTACATTACAAAGGTATTGGCAGAAATGATGGGCCACATACTTGACATTGATAAAGCAGTTTGAAAAATGCTTGTGAAAATGGACACAACTGTCTCCAGTTTAAATAACTATAACTTTCTTTATTAATTAATGTTACATTCATTTGAATTTATTTCTTACTTTTTCAATTTGAAACCCTATTCTCTCATAGCAGCTTTGCTATTTTTATTTTCTGATCATATTTCTTCTTATAAGGATTAATCAATTACTCTTTAAAGGAAACCTCTCTTATATAGAAAGCTTAGGTTAAAGGTTTACGGTTAATCCTATTACTCTGTTGTCTATTTTAATAAGGGATGTGATAGTGCCACAGCTTTACTGTAAATTACTCTTCTGTAGTTATTTTTAGAATCACCAAGCTATAGTACTACCTTTTTAAACAAATGTGTTTTCTATATTTACAGGAAGAAAGATTGAAGAAGGAGCTGAGGGTGAAACTAGAGATGGCTAAGTTCTTGCAGGACACCATCGAGGAAATTGCTCTGAGGAACAAGGTGGCACAAGGAACTGTAACTGAAGAGTTTTCCACGTTTTTCCAGAAGGTCAGTTGAGTCATGGCTAATACTTGGGTACTGGGACCATCTAGTGGTGAAGATGGTGAACTGTGGTTTCATTTAGTAATTTTAAACAAAGACAAATGGAGGTCATTCTTTGACAAGTTATTTTGCCAACAAAAATGTGGATTGATTGGCTTGTATCTATATTGTTCCTATGCGTTAAATTATACTGTAACTATATTAATTATATAATTATACTGTATACTCTATTCATGGGTTTCAGAATGATGAGAAATTAGGACCGTTGCTATTGCAATTAACAATTTATAAGAATATCTTTTGAATTAGGAAAAAGTGCTTTCCATTATTCCATTGTTTTGTTTGAAAATGCATACATCAGGCCAAGTCCAAATTGTCTTTTCAGGGTGCAGAAAAAGAAGGAAAAATATATTTTGACATTTTCTTTGCTGATAGATCCGTGACTCTGGCGAGCGTCCCAGTAACGAGCAGATCATCCGTTTCTCCAAACTCTTTGAGGATGAACTTACCCTGGATAACCTGACACGACCTCAGCTCGTGGCCCTCTGCCGCCTTCTGGAGCTACAGTCCATTGGCACCAACAACTTTCTCCGATTTCAACTCATTATGAAGCTTAGAGCCATACGCGCTGATGATAAGGTACAATTTCTGTCTCCTTGCTGTCTTTTTGTTCAATATATTTGGTGTGTTAAAAGTACTTTTTCTTTCCAGCTGATTGCAGAGGAGGGAGTGGCGAGTTTGAACGTGAACGAGGTCCAAGCAGCGTGCCGTGTCCGAGGCATGAGGTCTTTGGGAGTCACAGAGGAGAGACTGAGGGAACAGCTCAGCCAGGTAAAACAACAGACAAAAACTTTACTTATAGCTTTAACAGTTTTAACTCATGAAAATGTGTTACTTTACTTTATACATTGTATGATAATTCTTTAGCCTCAGTTCTGTATTACTTACATTAGATTGAATGTATGATTGTTTCCTACCTTTCACAGTGGCTGGAGTTGCACTTGAACCAGCAGATTCCTACATCTCTGTTATTGCTGTCTCGGGCCATGTACCTCCCAGACACACTGTCCCCAGCTGACCAACTCAAAACAACTCTACAGACCCTTCCAGAGATCGTGGTATGTATAACTATATGTATTAGAGCTGTTATAACCTTTTTTTCTTAACAAATATTGGCCTTTCACTCATTACTTAGTCGAGATGGTAACTTGAGTCTAAAAGTGTCTACAGAGAAAAGCCTTACTATAGGTTGCAATTTATGCCACAATCTGCTCAAAATCTCAAATTTAGTAGATCTAGATAACACTGTTTTGAGTTGAGTTATACTTTGAAATGATCCCATACTAAATAATGACAAAATTAGCTCTATGAAAAATGGCTCCAAACCAGGTCTAAACTTGGACAAAACATAGGCATTTAGAAGAAAATAGAATAAACCAATTAAATGAATGCAAGACTATCTTAGAGCTACCTGTCATTATGAACAGGCAGAACACAAAATGACTAATCTCCTTCATCATTGTATTCGCAGACAAAGGAGGCACAGCTAATGGCGGCAGAGATGGAGCTTTCTAAAGTGGACAATAAAACCAAAGTGGAGACCACCCTGAAGGAGGAGGCTGCCATTCGTCAGGACAACAAGGAGCGGGAGATGGAACGAATCGCCGATGCTGCGGAGAAGGCGGCAAAGGTAACTACGGCAACACTATCAGGAATATTAGAGAGGAATAATGGGATTTGACTATTCACTGGTCATATTATAATCCATTTTCTAACATCTACTATACTTGTCTGGTGGTTTTACTTTCTCTAGTTTATGAATTAATGGAAAGGGATAAAATAATGGCACATACATGTACAGAAGATGGTTGCATTTTGTAAAATCCTGATATCTTTTTGTGTTTTTATGGCAGGATGAACTTGATCTTGAAGAAAATCTAATTAAGTCCAATGCAGAAGTTTCTGCTCGTTCAGAGATCCTGAGAGACACTGCTCCTGTTGTAGAAGGCCTAAAGGTAATTCATTTTATATTATAGAGGCTTAAATTTGTTTTTGTGCCCTATTATTATCTTGGTTTCATTTTTTTTTTTATTTCGATACTAAGGCATAATGTGAAGTGAATTCATCTCTTGTGTTTTCATATAACCAACATGCAATGCACACAAAGACCATAACCATTTGAATTTTCTTCCTAATGGCATTACAGTACGAACAGTGGCATACTTTTCACCTTCGCTTCCAGGTCAGAAATAAACCTGCCTCTCTCCTCCAAACCACCGTTTTTCCCCCGTGTACAAAATCTCCCTGGCCTATCCTCAGAGCTCCTCCACAAGTGATCCTAACAGCCCCTGCATCTAATCCAGGCTATTGTTTACTCTAAAATTTCATCATAGACTAGGACTTACTAAAACCTAAGGCGTCTCTAAATGGAAGGGAACAAAATAAAGTTTTATTTCTGTAATGAAGTGACAGTTGATGCTGAGCAGATTCAAGCAGGTCATAAAATGCTTTAAGTCTGTGTTTGCATGTTCTCATATTGGATGGAAAACAGACCAGAAGAATAAAGTAGGATTTACGGAGAGACACTCTGTATTGGCTTCCTACATGAGAAGTCTGCTTTGTTTAACCAAAGTCACAACTAGAGTATGTTAATGACTAATTCTGGATTATTTGCACATACTTATCAATGAAATGTGAGTTTGATATTTTCTTACCTCATGGTTCCTTTGAGTCAGCCTTTCCCTCACAGTTATAGGTTTTGAGGCTCCATAAATGTTGCAGCCCGTGTTGTGATGTGTTCCAGTGCAGTGTGCCTGTGTTGTGGTTTGGTACCAAATTGTGTATTTGAATTTTGAATGTTGTTGTTATTGTAGGATGAGGAAATCACCAAAGAGGAGATTGACCTTTTGAGTGATGCCTGTACAAAACTGAAGGAGCAGAAGCGTCTGTTGACTCTGGAGAAAGAAGAGCTGGAGGAGCTGAAAGATGATGTTCAAGAATACAACGAGGTGACTGATATTGCATTATGTAGGGACAATAGTGTTATCAGGGTTTCGCACAGGTTTCTACTGATACTAAGGTGGCACAAGCGGTACATATTTGAATCTTATTCAGTTTTATTTAAAACAATTCGTGGAGATTATACATTAAAGAATTGCAACTGCTCTATGAAACTACTAGATATATCAATTTCATACAAATTTCATATAACCATTTGCCTTAGTTACATCCAAAACAGTGAAATGCATCACATTTTCAGTTTGTCAAAATAAAATGGTGTGACTGATATTCAAATACAAATATGAACAACGTGGTAATATCAAACATGTTTCCCTTGGGAAGTTAAGCCTCATATTAAAGTTATGTTTTCTCATAGGACCTGGAGGAGATAAAGAAGGAGCTCTCCAAGTCAGGACAGGAGAAGGCTGTGGAGGAGTCTAAGGCCAGTCAGCGTCTGTCAAAGAGAGTGAACCGAATGATTGGACGAATCGACAAAATCATCGGAGAGCTCGAGGAAAGATAAGGTCATTCTGGATGGACAGATGGACACAGGCTCCACCCCCCCAGTCGGGTAAGACCACCACATTCAAAAACATCTATCTAAAATTAAGCTCCACATTGATCAGGGATTATGTTATGATCACTGATGAGTAAAGTGAAGAATACTTATTATTCAAACCTCATAATAAACTTGATGTGTGAGAAGCAGGAGAAAGAGTTTAGAGTGAGGTTGACAACAGTTAAATTGTGATTGCTGGAACACTTGATCAGAGCAACTTGTTACTGTGCACAATGGATTAGCTCTTGTAACATCAATTGTAGAGCATGGATTATCAAAAACTATTGAAATACTTGATAGTCATTTGTTTCTAGTTTGGGATATAAAGGTGGTCATAATGTTGTTCCTGATTAGTTGTCGTTGCTTTCATGTATTTTATATAATTAATTAATTTATGTACATCATTTTATATTATATTACAATTATTTTCCATTTATTTATTTATTTTCAATCTCAAACAAAACATATATTTTATAACTTTGGATTTTATGTAAGCCATTCTTTATATTTATGTTGTATGCTTCATTTACCATCAATACTTCATTTATCTATGTAAAATGGTGGTGGAGATACTGAAGGTTTCCCCAGATAAATGACAAAAACATATTACAATTTTCCAGATTGTTCGTTACTAAATATAGTGATGCTGCCAGGTAAGATCACCGTGGTTACCGCTATTTGCCTGTTTAATACTAACACTGCATCTCTCTGTTCACATCATTCATCTTTAGACTTATGTATTGTAGTTTACTAAACACTTGGTGTTACTGGGACTGGTTAATGGTTGGAAAGATCACTAAATAACAATGTTGGACTGACCCTCTGTGTAGAGGTGTGATCTTCACCAATTAACATCTTCACAGGGGTGATTTGAATCTAATGTTGTAACTAGAGAGATTTTGAGAGTTGCCTTGTGCCTTGAATTTGCTTTTGCATGTTGTCCAAAATCAAAACATTATTACTGCACACAAATGTGCATTGAACATATCGATGTAGGAAGACACAGATTTATAAAAATACACATGGAGAATCCTAAAGCCTTACAAAATCAATTTACCATTACCTTTACTGATCATATGTGGCTGGAGTTAGAAATACATCAGACAAAAAGCACACATTATAGTTGTACAAAACTGTAGCTATTCCAGTAAAAAATGATCTTGGCCAATGTTTATCCTGCCACAATGCATTTCAGTAATAACAATATAATTTAACCAAAAAGCTTCACTGATTCGGTAGCTGAATTGACGTGATTTGGGAAGCGTCATGTTTTGTTTAATATTGCCTCTAACTCTCCACCACCTGTTTACCCCGTGTCCGTGCTGTCACCGTCTCCTGTATGCAGTCTGTTCTGCGCCTTCAGGGAGAATCTGGTGAGCATCGATGAGTTGATCGGAGTCATGAGGCAGATCCAAAACATCCCCGAACACAAACTGCAGAGCATCGCCGACGCACTGGACGACAATAAGGACGGCAAGATTGACATTGATGATGTTATCAAGGTATGGCATCTTCAAGCAGTTTAGTCTGTCGGCGTAATTTAATGCAGCCAGTTCTAACAAAAATGAAAGGGGGGGGTTAAAAAAGTGTAAATAGTTCCCCAATGGATCTTAATCTTAAAAGATCACATTTATATTACAATTCTTGTAGACAGTGTTTTGATAAGTTCTTTTGGGGGTCTTGAATCTCAAACAAAGGAGAATCTTGCTGATTGCACAGCTGTATAAGAAGGTTTTATTTTATTGTACTTGTATTAGAAATGATCCAAATCAAAACTCTTTTTGTAATTTTTTTTACACAGATTCAAAAAGACTGGTACTGTATATTTTTTTATTATGCATTCGCTTTCCATGTCCACATAAACTGACGTATATTTGGTTGTCCATGTTTTATTTGTGAAGTGCCTGATATTTGGACTTACATCACATGCTTTTCGTATGTAGGTCTGTAGGTATATCCATTAGATAAAATAGTGATTACTCTCTTTCCTGTTTTGTGTCCAGGTGGTGGAGCTGATCGACAAAGAGGACATTGACATCTCCACGTCCCAGGTGGCTGACATCATGGTGATGCTGCAGAAGGAGGAGAAACTGATGGAGAAGGAGAAGGCCAAAGACAAGATGGAGAAGGAGATGGAGAAGGAGCAGGCAGTCAACAGGAACGTCTGACGAACTCTGACCTCGGCACGCAAAGACTGGGCATCTTTAGTGTCAATTTAAGAGGAAGTGGAGTGAGGTACCTCCTTCACGACAAATATAAGCGGCTCATTGCCTTTGAAACGCACAGAAAAATGAATTAATAAATAATAAACGCCATGTATGTGATAGCTACTTTGAACTGAAACTGTATCATATGTTGATATTTTGTATAATTTCACTGATTATTTATGAAAGGCAGGCAACACAAAGACTTGAGAGGATTCATTGAGAATATGGTTGAGAAAATATAATATATATATATATATATTGACAGAGAAAATATTTGCTTGAAGTGACATGTCCTCCATTTATGTTGTCAAAGAAATGAGCAAATCATTTCTGGATTTTGCACAAACTGTCAAACCATCGTCATCTCTTCCCTCTGCCATTCCACGTCATCTGATCATCCATTTTGTTTTGATTTTTAAATGTTTTTCTGTTGAGAGCGCAGTATTTTTACAGAGACAGGAGTAGAAGAAATGGTGGCTGCCAATAGAAGTCATTGTTTTTGCGTTTGCTGTACAAATATAATAGCTACCCTCAGTCCCTAACAATCAATGCCCAGAGAATGCTTGTGTTTCAGATTGTTATAGTGGCCATGGCTATACATACACAAGTATAAACAGTTAAGGAGAGGTGTGAAATGTCTGCAGTAGCGATGCTGCTGTTATATGATGCAAATGTGCTGTTGAAATTCTAATCGAAAAACAAAAACCCCTTAAAATATGCCATTGAACTTTGAATGAAACTTGCAGTATATAGTTTTGTATTTAAATATTCATATTTTGTAACTAAGCTTCTTGACGGTATATATGGATGCACTGTCCAAGAAGCACGCTAAAACAAACTTAAATCTGATATACGTTTTGTGCAAAATTTATGTAACTTTGATTTCTACTAGGTAACTTTAACTTTATGAAATGCCAAGGTTGCACTGAAGAATATTTTGAGAATAAAATCTCAAGAATAAATTCACTATCATTTCAAATCCAGATCCCAAAGCCATTATAACTTTTCTATTTAGTTTTGGTAATTGTTTTGAGCACATTTAAAACAAATATACAAAGTGGCCTTTTCTGGACTCTCGTTATTCAGTTATACAATAAATATTTTTGATAGACAGATGAGGGTTGAGTTAGTTTTAGTCCCAAAGTTGTATTTAATTTTGCACTGTAGTGATGGATGAATGTGTGGCTGAGATGTACTCCTCAGGTTCAGTCTTTATACTTTTTTTTTTTTTTACTTTGTTGTAGCCTGAAAATCTCGACTTTTGAATGTGTGTGTGTGTTAAATTAGCACAGAACAAGTAGTGAAGTAAAGGTCATACATATATGACCTTTCTTTTACATTCATTAAGGATTTAAAACATAATTAAACTTATGCATACTATAAATATTTACTAGGAAATACAATTTTTGGACAGTGTTAAGTCAGTACTGTTCTTGCTTTGAGTGTATTTTTTTTTACAACTGAAGGCAGCATCAAATTTACCAAAGCGTTTGTGTAATCAATACTTTCTTTTCTTGGCAAAAGTTTAGTCAAAAACCCAGAAATTAATTTTTATTGGTCAACTGTTTTATAAGGGAGAGATGGATTTAGCAGACATTGACATGAATTAACTTGTCATAACCTGTTAAACAAACTTACTCCTCATAAAGTGGTTCAATTTATAGCGGAGGTATGAAAGTGTTACCAGTTTGAATCAAAAGTAAAACCGTCCTGAAATATTCCAATTAAGATGTCATTAATTAAGAAAGATGAACAACTGATGTATGCAATCAGTTAGGGACGCAACTTGAATGACTGAGGGTGGCACAAGTAGATAGGCACGTGTATCATATGGACATAAGGCTCCCACAGCCTGCTACAAAGCAAGCTGATTAATCTATATGTTTTGCTGAGTTAAAGTGCTTTAAAGGGAGTAAATAATTTTGATATCTGTCTCTCAGTGACATGCAGTAGCACAGTGGAGAATAGGCAGCTGAAAATGTGGGAGAACATATGTAGGATCACCAGCTATAGGTGAACTATGTAACTTTGTGGTGCAGGGTCTGCTACCTTCTTGTCTTGGAAATGTTACTGCTTTGTCTAAAATGTTCCACAATATGGCAGTAAACTTATCTATTTCTATCTTTGTCAAGTTACAGTTCAGATCTGTGGTGAGCTCACTCAGTGTAGGAACGCAGTACTTTTGAGCACCTATAATTGAATAAATGCAACATGGGTGAGTTTAATGTCATACAGTGAAACCTTTCAGGCAAAGTAAAAATATCTCCATAGAAACAAGCTTTTGGTGGACCCCCCCACCAGAAAAGTTTCAGGCATATCACCAAACAAATAGGGCCAATCAGTAGCATGAAATTTCATCTCAGGCTAACAATGAGTCCTATATTAAAATGCCTACAGGTTGTCACACTATTTATTTCTTATTTATTTAATCCAAAATATTGATTTAAGCTTTTCATTTTGGTACTCATTCATTCACAAGTTCATGTAAAAATTTAACCATCTTGAATAAATGATAAACTCCTAAATGTTTATTTGTTTTATTGCCCCTGTGTTCTTATTTAAGTCATTGCTTCTTTTGATTGTTTCGTTCACCAGTTCATCTTAATGCAGTAATGACCCAAGAGACCAAAGAGGAAGCTTTTGGAAATGGGAATACACATTTAAAGTAGATCTTGTAGGTTATTAATTGACATTTAAGAATTTAAGTCTGATGCTGTTATTATTATTTAGTTAAAAGCTTGGCAATTCAGATATTTTCAATCAATATTGGTAATTCCTGCACCTTTTTATGCCATTATAAGTTGTATGACTTAGACTGTATAAATGGACATGGTTAACCCGTTAGCTGCTGCGTTCTAAATGGGAAGTGTTCATGGGGGCGCTTCCGACTCCATCGAATCTGGCTCCAATCACCCCTTTCTCTGGAACTGCTGCAGTTAGCCTCATTATTTGCTCTTAAAATGTTAATATTAACCCGCTCTACATGATCCTGGTGTTTTTATTTCACTTCCAAATTCACTCCTGTCACTAGGATGGTGAGCTTTATTTGACTGGAGCCAAACGCTAGGGATGACGTGAAACTCCCTTTGTGCACTTCTTTATACAGTCTGTCTGCAGTCATCCCCTATCCAACACCCCAACACCTTTCAGTCTTTTCAGTCTCCCTGATGCATGCTACAAAATCCTTCTTCATTGTCAGTCCATCCATATGAATACAGAAATAGTGTTTAGCAAAGCATATCATTGAAAAGTTGTGAGGTAACATTATTATCATGTAAGTCAATACAGTGAAGTTGTACAAATTATAGGTTTTATAAAGTAATGTTGTATACCTGAACCCCATATTGTCCAACTCTACAAGTGAAAATTAGGACATTATACTGTTATCTATTAAAACAAAGAGCTACAGTTTAAAGATACATTGTGTAACTTTTCTGGAGGTGGGTCTGTAAAATACTTTTTTTTCATGAAGATATTACTGTTTTGTCTGGAATATTTCAGTATGGTATTAAACATTTCTGTCTTCATGGAGACCAAACCAGACAGTTACAGGTTAGATCTGTGGGGAGGCAACCTCCGCCTGTTTTTCTCTGTGTTTTTGAGCTATAAAACCACCTGTAATTGAATAAATGTAGACTAGCGCTGTTTAAAGTCATCAGACCCCCAACCAAAATGTTACATCGTGCACCTTTTAAATTATATGAAACAATCAGGCAACCCATTGTACATTTGCATAATGCTTGATCTTATGTGCATTAATGTAATCTGTAGTACCTTGTTATTGTACAATAGCTCTTAAAACAGTCTTCAAATTTACAATCTTGGTCTTGTCTGCTAGTAATACCTATTTTTTTCTTTTTTCATATACCACCATGGATATTTAAAGCTTGTTTTTGACTATATATTCAAATGAACTTCCAACAACAAGAAATGTAGGGCATCTTCTCTTTTCTGGATATGTACTAATTCTTGGTACTATACATGGTACACTCACATGTTTACATTGTTTTACAGAACTCTTATTATAGACACCAAATGTTTGTATTCACTTTTTAACAGGTGCTTCATACAGGAATGGCTTCATAACAACACAAGTGCACAATAAAATCAAGGGCATTCAGCTTGTAATATTTCACACTTTACACAGGTGCTACATAAAAATGATTTTATCTTTTACTTATTATAACTACATTTTTCCTTTCAGCTCAAAGCAGTTTACATCTTTGATGCTTCATGCTCAAATATCATACTCTTTGCATTTGTCATATATTTACCACTTCAATAGCCTAATGCACTTATGCACTTCCCTATTAAATTCAGTGGAACCCATGTAAACATAATCCTTTACAATTTGGTCAAATATTGAGTTTCAATAATTTTCTGTTGAATTTGTGTTTTGGTGTTGGACTTAACTTAGTCATGTTTGGACCTACCCATGTACTTGTATGCCTTTTAATGCTTTCATTTTTAAAAACCCACGGAACAGGCACTTTGAATCAGAGCACTCTGCTTCAGGCTCATAAGTCTATTATTTTGTACCTTCTGTAATAACACGACAACTACATGCAATAAAGCTGATAACTGTTCTTATGTGAGTTTTGTAAATCATTCCAGGAAAAAAAAAAATCGAACCATAAAGTGGTTTATTTGCTCATACTTTGACATCAATTCACGTTTTGTCCACTAGATGGCAGTAGCAGATTGTGAATTTGTCCAGTCTGAACACCACCAAAGGCCCTTTACTGGGATTGTCTCAAGAGTCTAATAATAATAGACAAAGTAATTTCTCAGGTTTTCTAATATTAAGCTTGAAATTTAATATCCAAAACACATTTTCTTTTCTTTTTTTACTTTTTTTATTTGTGTACCCCTTTGAACATCTCAGAAAATGGCATACAATATATTTCTGTGATCCTGACGTCAGAGATGAGATATCCTGCAGCATCTTACTTTTTCTTACATTCTTATTACTTCCTCCTTCTCCCATTTGACGTTCTTTGATTTCTTTCTTGATGTTTTGTTTGTTTTTGCATGGCCGACCCTCGACGCTCCACTGATGGGTAATTTGAAGGGCCCAGCAGGTAGCAGCTCTGATACAAGCAGCAAATGAACCAATTTATGCCTCTCCCAGAGCTGCAGACCCTGACTGTAATAACACTGAGCCCGGAGCCAGTGGACTTCATTACCAAAAGTTTTCTGCCTCTGAGATGAATGAACAATATGGGGTTTTGTAATTCAGGGAAAGTATAGAGTAGCGTGCAGAAGCTGGATTCAGGCTGTAACACAGAAAGGTGTATCAGTGCAAAGTAATTTATGAGAGCACTTCTGACAAGGAACTGGTGTCATGTAGCAGTGATGAACCCAAACATTTTATAATTTTAGAGAAAACAACGTTTGATTATATTATATTATTTAGTTAGTTATTTTTCAACTGAAAGATTTTTGCTTTATTGGAGAAATTCAGTCAGTGGTCAGGACCATGGGTCAAGTAGATCATTTTTATTTTGAGTTTGTGTCCTGAAAAATGGTTCAGTTATATAATCACATATTCTAACACAAAGAAAATTTGACAAAAAGTTAAATTTTATTCATTTTTTTCAGACCATGGTTTAGTTTGTTTTCATACCAGACAGTTTTACCAGCTCTTTGGTCTTCCTCAGAGTGGTCATGTGATGCAGGTGTGTAAGAGTAAAAAAGCCCCCTCGTCTCAGTTTATAGTCCTGTGGGCATGTTTCTGTATTTCAATTGCCTCCTTAATCCAGCAACAATGTTTATTGTCCTCTTTTCCAATTTGTTTTGCATTGTCCCCAATCTATCATGTGGATCTCTCTTCTACAATGGCCAGAAAATAGTAGTCGGCAGTGGCAGAGTTAGCAATTTGGGGACCTTAGGTGAATTTTAGTTTGGGGCCCTCACATAATGCACTGTTTTGTTGGGGTTTTTTTTGCATTTCTTTAATAGTTATTGTCTGTTTTTTCCCATTGATCACGAGACACACACAACTTTATTTGAATTACGGTGGACTGAAAACTTATCTTATTAGTTAGGTAGCCTACTAGATAACCAGAGCTGAAAGTAGTTTTATTATTTTGTTAGTACAATAAAATTTTTGTTTACATCCATTACATATGATTATGATTATGCTATGATTATGTCCAGATCAGACAATCAGATACTATTTTGATGGTGTTTTCTTGTTTAAAAGTAAACTACTCTCATTTAATGTAATGGTAGTGCCGCCTCTGGTAGTTGGTTAGCAACAACCACATATGTCCAGTGCTTTGGATTAGACTTCATCAGTGGTCTTGGGCAGTGACGAATACCCTCTGAATCTTAAAACAATGTTTATTATTAGGGATGCAAGTATTCATGGTTTTGAATACTTG